TTGGTGGTTCAAGCCCACCAACCATTCCTTGGAAACACTATACAGGGTCCCTACTAGTCTAAACCAATTCAACAGCACTTAACAAGAACTACATATAAAGATAATGAAACGTTCTTGTATATGTATTTTGTATGTGGCACTCTTTCTCAACTCTCCAACTACAGTTAATAATTTCTCTTTTGGTTATTTTATATTTCTAATCATATCAGTCAATGACACTTCAATTTTTTCCAAATTTTGTAACTCACAGCATTTATCTCTTTACTGTGCTGTACAAGGGTGGTTATAATTGGTAACAGTCGGCAACCCTATATGATTCCAATTTTAAAGGGAAAGTGTTCAAGATTTTACTTCAAGTGCAAAGTTTCCTATATTTTCTGTAGTTTTTGTGTGGGCTCAAACTCATGGTAACTTAATGTATAACAGAACAAGACATTGTCTGCTACTACTCTGTCTTCTTGACCTTCAGTATGTTTGAATTCATTGGTATGGCTACTGTGTCAGTCCATCTCATTGAAGAGTTCCCTTGTTTTCTCTGGCCCTCTGCTTTGCCAAATACTACGTCTCTTTCCAGTAATTGCCCTTTCCTGGTGATGTGTCATAAGTAAGCAAAATGAACTTTCACCATCCTTGCTTCTAAGGAGCATTGGTTGTATTTCATCAAAGACCGATTTGTTTATTCTCTGGCTGTTCACGTACACCACAATTCAAAAGCATTAATTCTTCTTGATCAAATTAAACAAGTGTCTGTTTTACTTCTAGTTGTTAAAAGTTGTTTTTTTTTAAACTATGAATTGATGGTAAATTTCATCCAATACTTATTTGGCATATGTTATATTAAATTTGATCATGTACTTTAATTCTGCACTTATCTAAATAATTACATAGCCTTTATCTATTAATTTCAAAGTTGGTACTGATTTTCTAGTGTTTCTAAAGCTACTTGACTAGACTATGACCTTGGTTATAGTGGATTTTTCCTTTGATTTATTGCTAAATTCACTTTACCAACATTTTCTTTAGAAAACTGGTCTTGATACCAGTATGAGACAGGCCCACAGTTTTAATTCTTCATATTTTCCTTGACATAATTTGTTATCACTGCTGTGCTAGCTACACAAACTAAGTTGGGAAATATATTCTTTTTTGTATTCTCTGTAAGATTCTCCATAAACCTGGGATCATTCCTTTCCAGAATAGTACATGTGTACTTATATTTACTCAGTGAGAAGATTTTTTAATTACTGGATCAATTGTTTTATAGTTACAGGACTGTTAATGCTGCTCATTTGTTCTCAAGTCAAAAGTTTTCTAGGAACTGGACTATCAAAATTTTCTATTATTTGCATAAAATATTGAGAATATTTTCTTATAATAATGTTTAAGACCTATATCTCAGGGTGTTTGGTATCTATACCAACTAAGCATTACTATATACTTATATAATATGAGGTCCTGGTATGGCATTGTAGGATAAACACTGGAATGCTAACTGCAAAGTTGGTGGTTCAAACCCACCAGTCTCTCCTTGGAAACTATATACAGGGTTGCTGTGAGTTGGATCTGACTTGACAGCATTTAATAACAACATTCAATATGAGCATGTTATGTTATAACCCATAGTGATCAAGTATGGAAATGCAGTCTCAACTTCAGCTCAAGATTCTCAAAACAAGGAAAATAAAGTATATTCTCAGGCATCTTTAAGAATCAGCCAGGGAGTTATAGACACACACTGATCACTAAGGGAGTGCTATTAAATAAATGGAATCCTAGTGTGGTACTGTAGGATCATCACTGGACTGTGAACCACAAGGTCGGCTGTTCAAACCCACCAGCTGCTTCTAGGAAACTGTATACAGAGTAGCTATGAGTCGGAAACAACTCCACGGCACTTAACAACAACAACATGAAATAATCAGTGCTGCTACACAATTGTTGTTGTTGTTAAGTGCCGTCGAGTCCATTCTGACCCATAGAGATCCTGTATAGGGCTTCCAAGGAGCAGCTGATGAGCTTGAATCACCGATCTTGCAGTTCAAATGATTTTGCAGTCTGATGCATTAGCCCACAGTGCCACATCAGGACTCCACAATAACTCATCTTTAAAAAGACATGCTAATGTGGTATAAGTTACTTACTCTTTTCCATTTCTAAAGATGTAGGTCAAATTCTAAGGGAAATTAAACACAGAATGTTTTAACTGAACACAAAGGGAAAGCACGGTTTGTTTTAGAAAAAGAATCACAAATCTTGCAGGAGTGTATTTATCAGTCCTCTGTTCTTCATGTACTTTGCACAAATCTTAAACCAAAACGTGGATGTAGGTTTTGTTCACACAGGTGCACAGACTTCCACATCCTCATCAAAGGAAAGTAACAGTGACCCAGAGCACCCAAACTGTGATCATTCAAAGATCAGCCTTGAGATAATGCAAGTTGACAAGGTGGTCAAAGTCCCCCTTCCCTTCATCAATGGTATTCAAATATTTCTTGAAAGTGAAAATCTCCATGAGGAGCCTGAAAAAGTCATATTCATGCTGCCAGGTCAGCCAACAGGAGTATATATATCCTAGGTGAGAAACACCTGGTCTACCTCAGACTCCAAGAGTCCTAGAAACCAAAGAAGACAAGGAGGACTCTGGGTAGAGACTAGGAACGTTTGAGTAATCATTCTTTCCTGGAAAAACCTAATGAGGGGAGAAAAAACAGACCTTCTACCTTCAGTATACACCCTGCCAAGACATTCTGTTTTGTTCCAAGCCACAGGGAAGGTATAAGGGATGGTGAGAGGATGGAGATAAGAAGACATGAAGTCCAAGGATAGAGGACCCCAGGATCCATCCAGGCAATAAGTCAATCCCATTATTTCCTCAAACAAGGTTAATAGTCACCCACCTGTGACATCTAAGTGGAAGGAAACCTTCTGATCCCCGGCCTCACAGCTGTACTCCCCAGAATCTGCCTTGCTTGCTTGCTGCACCACGAGCCGCCGCTCACAGCCTTTGGCCTCAACACGCATCCTTGAGCTCGAACTCAGTTTCTTCCCGTCCTTGTACCATACCACCTCCGTCTGGGCCTTGGCCACCTCACAGCTCAGTGTGGCACTGCCTCCTGCCTCAGTCATCACCTCACTCTTTGCAGGCTGATCTTTTGCAAACACCACCACAGGTTCTGGGGACAGGGAAGGATACAAAGTCAGAGACACAAACCTGGTATCCACCCATTTCATGGCCACTGAAACATTCAAAATTTAACAAATTTCCCAATGAGCCTGGTGATACCATGTGTCCCATGGGCTGCTTGACTTGAACACAAAGAATCCTATCACAAAGCGAGTTTGACATGGCCTCATTCAACAGCAATTCTTTGGTGGCTGAGGCTGTTCCACCCTCTGTAACTGCTAATTTAAAGTCTTTCCCACATCAGCACTGTGAACCACAGGGTTGGAAGTTCAAACCCACCAACTGCTCCTCAGAAACCCTACACAGGATCGCTATGAGTTGGAACCGATGCACCAACACTTAATAACAACAACAACATCGCACTCAGTTCTGGGTGGATGTGCCTATATAATTCATGAAGTCATCTCTACCGTGTTTCACATGTTATGTCCTCCATAACATTATTCCACCTATTTAAAAATGATAACTTACATGTAATGAAGAGCTAGTTGTGGTTTTATAGCTCAATGATGTTTATAAATGTAGCCCAAATAACATCACGCATATCAAATATGGAGTACTGGTGTGGCACTGTAGGATAAGCACTGGACTACTAATCACAAGGTTGGAGGTTCAAACCCACCAGCCACTCCTCAGAAATGCTATACAAGATAGCTATGGGTTGATATGACTTGATGGCACTTCACAACAGCATATCAAATATAGATAATATTTCTAATTTCCCAGTCACCTCTGACCCCTCCTAGAGTCATACTCTCTCACCATAAATTACTATTGCCTGTTATTTAATTTCACATACATTGAATTATGCATTATATACTTTTATGTCTGGTTTAATTACCAAATATAATATCTGTAAGATTTATTCATGCTGTTGGATGTAACAGTAGTCCACTTTCTCTTGCCGTATAGAACGTCACTGCATGAATACATCACAATTCAGTTTTCCTTCTCTACTGAGGTCCATTTGGGTCGCTTCCAATTTGAGTATGTTATTAGCAAAGCTTCTATGAGTACTATTACACAAGTCTTTGGTGGACATATATTGGCACATAGTGTAGGGCTTTGTTTGGCTTTAGTAGATATGCCAAACAGTTTTCAAAAATGTTTTGTGCCAATTAACAGTCTTACCAGCAGTGAGAGTTATTCACAATCTTACCAACATTTGATATTATAAAATTAAATTCTTGAGGGCCCAAGATGCCAGTGAGAAGAGAGAGTAAAGAATTGAGTCCCACACTCTACTTATTTCCCCTCAAGATATGTGATGGATTCCAGAGCTGCACAGAAGAATCCTGATGGCACAGTGGTTATGCACTTGGCTGTTGAAGTTGCACAGGGCTAACAAAAAAGGCAGAAAACTTCTGAAAACCAGAGAGGACTTTTCACCATTTTGTAGTTCTAAAGAGGCAAAGATTAGCATTCAGGATAGGATTAAGGAGAACTCCAGTTCATACCCTTAATCTCTCAGCAGGAATCCTTGGAGAAGTTGGCATGAGATCATAGATGGGACAAAGCTGGATGAACCTTATCAAAACCGCAGTGAAACCTAGAGTCAGATCAATCCCCAAAATGGATTAAGCCCATTATCCTCTTTCTGCCTAGCAAAAATAAAGTCAGAATCCTCGTGATGGTAAGATCATATCATCCATGTTGTTGGTTTTGTTGCTAAGTGCCTTCAAGTTGGTTCTGACTCATAGTAACCCTTGTATAAGGTTTTGAACCACCAGCTTTGCAGTTAGCAATCCAGAGTTTATCCTACAGTGCCACACCAGGACTCCATATCATACATGTTGTTGTTGTTGCTAAGTGCCATCGAGTTGGTTCCGACCCATAGCAACCCTGTATAGGGTTTCTGAGGAGTGGCTGGTGAGCTTGAACTGTGGACCTTGTGGTTCAGATTGACTTTGCAATCCACAGTGCCAGACCAGGACTCCATATCACACAGTCAACAATTTTTAACACATAGCGTCTGACAGTCCATTGGAAATTTGCAGGTGTGCCAAAAACTGAAGCCAAGATGAGAAAAAGAAGAAAAAAAAAAAGCAAGTATCTGGTGACACAGTATTAGATATGTTAGACAACAGATCCAAGATAAAGATTTCATTAGAGAATGAAATGGAATGAAAAAATAATCAGGGAGACATTGTTTAGGAAACAGTTTCTCTTCATGGTGATGGGAAATTTGGCACCAATTAAGCGTAATGGCTGCACAACTAAGTAACTGTAATGTAAGTGAGATCAACTGATGTCATTGACACACTGACTAATGTGATCAAGGAGTCCTGGTATGGTGCTGCAGGGTAATGTGCTGGGCTACAAGGTCAGTTTCAGCTACAAGATCGGTAGTTCAAACCCACCAGCCGCTCCTTAGAAACCCTATACAGGGTTGCTATGAGTTGCAACTGACTCAAAGGCACTTAACAACAACAATGTAATTGATATCAGTAGAGCTGTACACCTGAAATAGATCAACTTGTCAAATATTCTGTTATATGTTTATACAATGACAACAACAACAAAAGAGCAGCTTACGATGCTCCTTATGTATAACCAAACACCTCATGGAATTCGTTTTCTTGATTTGGAGGTTTAGGGTCCTAGTTTCATGGAACCTAACTCCTGGTGTGGCTCTGTAGAATCAGTACTGCACTGCAAATCCCAAGGTCATCAGTTCAAACCCACCAGCTGCTCCTTGGAAATCCTATGTCGGATCGCTATGAGTCAAAACTTTCTCAACAACACTTAACAAGAAAAACAAAATTGATTTCAGTGTTTCTGTTCTACCTTCTAATTTCTTATGTAGTGGCTGGGGTCTTAAAAGTTTGCAAGCAACCATGTAAGGTACAAGAATTGGTCTCTATTTGCTAGGAACAAAAGAAGAAGAAAAGTCAGGAACTGGAATGTCTGCCTAATTGCTTCCATAAGCAACGACCCTCTTTTAACATGAGACCAGAACAAGGTGGTGCTGGGCAATCGTTACTGAAATTCTGATCAAAGATTCTATAGAAGAATCTGGATCAAAAGAGGGTAAAATGTGAAACAGAACTTCATGTTTCATCAAATACAGACTTCCTAGAGGCACTGAGGCTACATGATACCACCCCCTTGCAACCAAACAAACAATAAAAACTGTTACATGAAATATTCTTTAAACCTTAAACTTGAAGCCAAAAATATCCTTCTCTAAACCAAACAATAGTTTAATTAGTAATGACTGGATCCCTTGATATTTCCCTTTCCTGAATACACAACTATGAAAGTGGTGGAGCACACCAAAGGCAAAATGATGAAAGCATCTTAGATATTATCAAAGTCCTTAAGGCAGTAAGTTGCTGGGTCTGAGTGCTCATGTGATCATAGACTCAGGGGACACAGTGGTCAACTAGCATAACACAGTCTACAAAGACAACACTCTATATTCTACTTTGCTGAGACCCATCTGGGCTCTTAAAAGATGCAGCTAATTGTGTCTTCATACAAGGAAGAAAGAAGAGTGATGAGAATTGAAGATTTGGAATCAATTAGTTCTACAGGATAATGGAACATGTGAACATGTCTCCATGACTCTAGCCAGAAGGACTAGATGATGCCCGGCTACCACTACTAACTTCTCGGAAAGGGATCACATTAGAAGGTCCTGGATAGAGCAGCAGAATATGTGGAACAAAACTCAAAATTATTTTTTTTTTTAAAAAAAAGACCAGGCTTACTGATCAGAAAGAGACTTGAAGAGCCTAAGACTATGACCCTTGACCACCCTTCCTGGAAATGAATTTACGCAGCCAAGCAGTTGTTGTTGTTAGGTGCTGTCAAGTTGGTCGCGATTCCTAGTGGCCTTATGCACAATAAAACGAAACACTGCCCAGTCCTGCACCATCCTCACAAACATTAAACTTGAGCCCATTGCTGCTGCCAATGTGCCAATCCAGCTCATGAGGGATCTTCCTCTTTTTCGCTGATCCTTACACTTGAGCAAGCATGATGCCCTTATCCAGGGACTGGTCCTTCCTGATAATATATCTGAAATATGAGAGAAGAAGTTTCATCATCCTGGCTTCTAAGGAACATTCTGACTGCACTTCTTCCAACACAGATTTGCTTGATCTTCTAGCAGCCCATAGTTCTTTAATATTATTCTCCAAAAACATAACTAAATGCATCAATTCTCTACAGTCTTCCTTATTCATTGCCCAACATTCACATGTATATGAAGCTACTGAAAATACCATGGCTTGGGTCAGGTGCACTTTAGTCCTGAAACTGACATCTTTGCTCTTCAATACTTGAAAGAGGTCTTGTGCACCAGATTTACCTACTGCAATTTGTCATTTGATTTCTTGAATGCTGCCTCCATGAATGTTGATAGTGGAACCAAGCAAAAT